CCCCAAAACCCCAAAACCCCAAAACCCCAAAACCCCTATCAGTTTCAATTACTTGAAATACTTCTTCATTATGTTAAGGTTTTCCTTCCTCTGCCTTGGCTTAAGCAACGGTAATCCTGCAGCTCTGGGCTTATAGTTCCTAGCCAATATATCATTATAGCTATTGTGTTATTATGGCATCCTACCTGTAGTTATGCTTATCCTCAATTCCAGAGTCTCTGACTGATTCTGACTTTTGCTTCTTGTAATTCCTTATCAACTTCTTAATACTCATTTTCGGATTCTTCTCTCCATTATAATTTTTACTAAATATCTTCTTCATAATGTTTAGCTTGGTGTCAGGCTTATCCTCAAGGATGATCTCTGAGTCTGGAATCTGACTGTACAAATCCTTAGTGTTTATATCAGCCTCTGAGGAATTTTCAGTAGGAGCTTTGACATTGGCCTTGCTTCTATTCTTAAAAAGTCTCTTCCCTTCTCTTCTGTTCTGAGTTGAGGACACTCTTCAGACGTAGTTAGAGGATATCAGCTTTGCCTTCAAGTTCACCTTTAGTTTATTTCCTAGTCTTGATTTCTCATGGGTATAAGTTTTAGGGTTTAAAGAAACAGATTTCGAATGATCCCCAAAATTTTTAGAATCCTAGTTGATTAGCTTTCCAAAATTAGTGAACTTACGTCTTTTGACTCAGATTTATTATGTTTTAAAGTCATACTCCCTTTCCTGTAATGCATGCTCTTGAGCTTATTCTTCATCTGAGTTTTATTTCTCTCTGAAATCTCCCTTTTGAGCTGATTTCCTAGATTTAGATAATATTGAAAGCTGAGAAATCCTGATCAGCAATCTTTTCTTACTCTGTATTTTTCTTGAACTATTTTTATTTGAAAGTATTGATTTTCTATTGATTACATACTAGTTTACCTCTTTTCTTTCCTGCTTACTATCAGATTGATCCTGGCAGAGGTTGTTTTACCTCCTTTATCTGGCATCACAAGACCTAGTGAATCTTGGTGAGTTATCTCCTTAGGAAGAATAAACTCATTTGATTCTGGCTTAGGTTCATCCACTATTGGTTAACTCTCGATTCAGGTTCATGAAGCCTACCTGCAATAGATAATTTTCTTCTGTGTCTCTTAAGGCTGCCGTTTTTTGCCTTTTTCTGGTTATAAGCTAATGCAATCATTTTGGTACGGAATACATTCGTTTGGTTGCATGATGATCTGTTTGAATATAATTTACTCTTAACTATATTTCAATTAGGATCAATGTATTTCAAAGGTTCTGGCTTTGGTAGCTTACACTTTGAAACAGGACCTCTGAGCTCAAGCATTTGATTATTTTCAAAATCTAGTGAGCGCCTAGAAGGAAGTACGTTAAGATCAATGAATAAAAAGTATAGAGCTATTGAATCTGCACCGACTTTAATAATCAAAAGAAGTCCTAAAAGAGGTAGAAATTTAATATTCCTCTCAAAGTGCAGTGAATACATGCCAAGCTGTTATCGAATTTACAAGTCGAGCATAATAAAATATTTTAAATAAGCTTTACCTGATAGTCTTCTCTCTCCTATTAATCTTCCTCTTTCTCCGTGTCTTATGATTACTTCGATGCTTCTCATTCGGAATATAATTAAGTGGCTCTTCCTTCTATATTTTACATGTAAGATCATTAAGCCAGTTATGGGGCTGAGCAAATGGAAATGGCAAATTCCAGTACTTTTTCTAATGCCTTCATTTCAATTTAATTAATATAAAAAGGGGTTTTGGGGTTTTGGGGTTTTGGGG